AAACATGTAGAATCTGAAGGAAAGAACATTTTAGGCAAAGGAATAGCAAGTTCAAAGGTTTGATATATGCCCTTGATTGGCAGATGATTGGTTAAAATAAAGTGTGGGTCACAAGAATATAAAATATGCACTAGAAGGCAAAGGCAAAATACATGCCAGAACACTATGTCACTGATTAAAAATTGAAGTAAATGACACAAAGATGTCTCCAAGATACATTGTTAAATAATAAAAGCAAGATATATATTATTTTTTATGGAATCATTAGAACTTCATGTCCTATGGAACTGTACAAAAAATATAAGTAAAAAACTTAGAAATGCAAAATAAAATGGAAAGAAACAATAAATGTAATAGGGATTTTACCTCAACACTATCAATTGGTAACAGTACATAGATAGAAAATAAGTAAGTTTAGAAGATTTAAATAAAATAAATATGAACTAAGTATGTGATTTTTCAATCTAACATGTATTTTAAACAAGTAATTTAAAATCTCCCTGATCCTTTCTCAGTTATACCTTTTATTTGTATTTTGCATCTTGCAACATTGACTAAACTTTAAGATGCATATTAAAATGTAGACTAAAAATTATTTATGCCGTAAGTGATCTGACCACTATCACTCTGATTTCATGTTATACCTATCTTCCCTTCTGCCACAGATCATGAAAGTATTATTTATGATAAATGAGGGCAGTATGATGTTACTAACCTTGGCAATGTCAGTGTATCTGGCCAAAGTTGGGAAGTGGAAGGATAGGTGAAATGCAACAATATAGAAACTGAGACAAGATTTAGGAGTAAGAATTTCTAAAAGATGTTCACTTTTAATTTTCTGTGCCCCTGTCCCATTTTGAAAAAATTTTAAATCATATCTCTGTATTATTTGATAAATAAAAAAAAGTACCTCAACTCCTAGGAATTTACCCTACGAATGCAGGATCCCAGTTTGAAAAAGACATATACACCCCTATGTTTATCACAGCACTATTTACAATAGCCAAGAAATGGAAGCAACCTAAGTGTCCATCAGTAGATGAATGGATAAAGAAGATGTGGCACATATACACAATGGAATATTATTCAGCCATAAGAATAAAACAAATCCTACCATTTGCAACCATATGGATGGAGCTAGAGGGTATTATGCTCAGTGAAATAACCAGGCAAAGAAAGACAAGTACCAAATGATTTCACTCATCTGTGGAGCATAAGAACAAAGAAAAAAGTGAAGGAACAAAACAGCAGCAGACTCACAGAACCCAAGAATGGACCAACAGTTGCCAAAGGGAAAGGTACTGGGGAGGGTAGGTGGGAAGGGAGGGAGAAGGGGAATAGGGGGCATTACGATTAGCATATGTAATGTGGGTGGGGGGCACAGGGAAGGCAGTATAGCACAGAGAAGACAAGTAGGGATTCTATAGCATCTTACTACGCTGATGAACAGTGACTGTAATGGGGTATGTAGTGGGGACTTCATAATGGGGGCAATCTAGTAACTACAATGTTGCTCATGTGATTGTATATTAATGATACAAATAATCATT